GAATTACAGCTCTCAGAGAAGCACGCAGAGCACTTCATATCATGAGCTTTAAGGGTTCAGACGCTATTTTATGGATTTTATGAGAATGCATCATAGCAAGCAACACTGAATAGCTTGTGCCATTACAATACAGCCCTTATTAGACATGATGCCCGTGGAATGTGATAAGATTGCACTCACCTTCACAAGATCAGTGGAGAGCATAGTAAACATGTAAAGCTGATTTTTATTTGTGTTAACGACCATCGTTTCCTCAGAGGGGCTGAAGCATATACATAGAATGTCCTGTCTGCCTGACTTCTTTGGCTCACTGCTGAACACGTCCTGAGGAAGCTGCACAAGAAATGCATCCCATGGGATATTCCATGTCTCTACATTTTACCAGTAGGCATGCACGCACACACAAACTTTTCCTGTAACGCTACTCTAATAAGTATATATATAATGTCAGTGAGACAACTTACATACCTGATGGCAAATAACTACTGCAAGGCAGGGAATAGACGACAAGATAACCTAACTGCATCTATAGCATTACAGCTGAAAAAAGTATCAGAGGACATTTCAGCAGTAATCTTAACTACTGCATAAAACAAAAATGAAAATGGTAGCAGAAAACACTGAGAAAAAAACCTAGCAAGTGTCAGAATGAAAACTGCCTGAAAATTGTGATCTCAGAATAACAGTTCTTTGCAGGGTATCATTCAAGCTAACAGTCTTATTACAGGGTCTCGTGCATAGGGAAGATCTGATCTCCTAGGCCCAGATTATGAAGGCTTGACCAGGTCATCAGAGTTGAATGTTCTTAGCCAAAGATGGCAGTAAGTCAATGCATACAGCTCGCTACAAAACAGTTAGAAATCCTACTAGATTACTTAAGAGTAATACTGTACAAGTCTCACGACAGCTATAATAAATATCTGAGGCGAGAAAAGTTTTGCATTGGAAAAAAAACAAGCAGCCTAGTTCTTCAAAACTGATGTAGACTACTTCTTAGCTCCAAAAGTCTCCATAAATAAAAGTTTCTTAAATGTTTCCTGAAGTTCAGCAGCCTCAAAGCACAGTTTACACGTAGGAACACGCAGAGCTACCTTGCAAAAGGACATCTGTCACTGACTTTCAGTGTGACCTGTGGCAACTCCCTTCCTGTCAACATCACGAGGACAGTTAGCTAATGCTTACAATGTAATTTAGAGATGTGCTAAATATTATTAATAACTGGATCAGAAGCACCCTCATCCCTCTAAACAGGCCTCTACTGCATAAGTGCTTGGAAAAGCTTTTTTCTCCCTACCCAGATTTCTTGACTCTCCTTGTAGATTTCCTTTTCCTTGGTCTTCTCAAACAGCAGAACAACTCCTGGGCTAGATGAACATGCAAAGCCTTTGGAATAAGCTGCAACTGCAGATATTTGAGGCAAAGCATTCTGCTGTGAACCATTATCTTCAGAGGCCAGCCCACAAGAGACGTCAGAAGAAATGCAAGCAGGAAGTGCATAGAGGCTTAAGAATAAAGAAGGACAACACAAAATATGCTTATCAGCAGCAATCAAAATATTATAACCTATTCATGAGCTGGACAAGAAGGAAATTGCGAATGGCCTGCAACTAATCTGCATGCACTAGCACGAAACTATTAGTAATAGCATTTAACAGATTTACCTCTCATATTCTTCTGTTGTTGCATCTTCTTCTAGTTCCCTCGGTGGTTTTTTGTACTCTACGCTTGTCTCCCAGCGCAGCTCTCCAGTTTCAAACAAGATAAGTTTGCCTGTGTCAGTGCCACAGATAACTTCCTTCTCAGACAGCCAGGCATGGCACAAGTAGTTTTGTGGCTCTCCCTTTTGTAAATTCATCTGCTTCAAAGTTCCTTCGCTGTACTTAAAAAGTTTAAAAAAGCCATTTCCAGTGATACAAACCTGTGCATTGTCTTGAGGACCAAAGCTCACCTATGGAACAAAAGACAGAGAAATTATTTTATACAACTGTGTTCAGAAATAAGTAAATATTGTATCTGTTCTGAAGACTTTCAATACCAGATGCAGGAAAACAAACAAGGGAAGAAGGTTCATAGAAACACACAGGCATACAGAAGATACTAAGAAATAACCATCATGACTACATATTGCAGTTTTCTCCCTTTCAAAACTGTGTATATCAACTTTACATGATGCCAGATGCTACAAATACATTTACTCTATTAAGCTAAGGTGCTATCTGAATCACAACGCAATACCGAAAAGAAATTGTCTCTGCCCTTCAGGATTAAATGACAAAAGTAAGGCCAAAATACCTATTTACTGCTGATCAGCAAGTTTTTCCGGTAGCAAGCTTCCTGAAAAGTGGGACCACTCATTCTTGAAGGCCAGGAATAAATTACGTATTTCTATATGTCAGGCAAACCTTGCCCATTATGCATATTAATTCACAGAATTAGGTGTTTATTGGGGAGAACAGTGGAATAGCTATCTCAGTACCCAACAGCAAGGATAGCAGGGGTAGTCAGACCACATTTTTCATGCTTAATGGGACTTTAGACAGTAGTTGTCTTTACAGCCACTCTCCTCCCTTTAGGAACTGAGCTCATGAAGTCAGTAGTTCACCCAGCCTCTGCTTGTAGTTGTACCCCAGAAAAAATGGCAGCTAGAGTCCAAACAACCCATGTACTGGAAGCCTCTCACCTCCCTGCAAGAAAGATACTTAAAAAGGGCACCCAAAGCAGGATGCAGGAATTGTTTCAGTGCCATCAGCCCGCTCCTAGCCACTCTTCCTGGGCTCTGATCTGCACGTACAACAGACTGCAGGAAGGCGCACAAGTGAGCCAAGAGCTTCCTAGGTGTGTGTTACGCCTACTGAGAACAGCCAGTATATTTAATGAATGTTTCTGCAGGGACACAAGGGACACATTGCACACTCACTGGCCAGTCGTACTGGCCCTATACCATAGATCTCATGCAATACAAGAGATACAGACATGAGAATGTCCATTATGTCCATTATGTCCATGGCAAGTGCAGGGTCCTGCCGCTGGGGAGGAAAAACCCCATGCACCAGTACAGGCTTGGGGCAGACCTGCTGGAGAGCAGCTCTGTGGAGAGGGACATGGGAGGGCGGGTGGACAACAGGTTAACCATGAGCCACCAGTGTGCCCTGGCTGCCAAGAAAGCCAATGGGATCCTGGGGTGCATCAAGAAGAGTACAGCCAGCAGGTCGAGGGAGGTTCTCCTTCCCCTCTACACTGCCCTAGTGAGGCCTCATCTGGAGTACTCTGTCCAGTTCTGGGCTCCCCAGTTCAAGAAAGATGAGGAACTACTGGAGGGAGTCCAGCAGAGGGCTACGAGGATGGTGAGGGGACTGGAGCATCTCTCCTATGCGGAAAGGCTGAGGGAGCTGGGGTTGTTCAGCCTGAAGAAGAGAAGGCTGAGAGGGGACCTTACAAATGCCTATAAATATCTGAAGCATGGGTGTCAGGAGGATGGGGCCAGACTCATTTCATAGGTGACCCTGCTTCAGCAGGGGGGTTGGACTAGACAATCCACAGAGGTCCCTTCCAACCCCTACCGTTCAGTGATTCTGTGATTATGGGTGAAAGCAAAAATTTATTTAGCCCAGTGTCCTATTGCTGAGGAAGGCCAACAACAGATGACAAGAAAGGCCACAGAAACGTCGCAAAATCTATAGTGTGGAGCCTCTCCTCCCTCTCTTGCCCTGGACAGGAGCCTTGTGGCCACAGGAGAACGCATCGAATCCTGCAGACTGAACTGATGCGGGGCCTGGCACCCAGTAGGTGCTGAACCATGGCTCGATCCTTTCATCCACCTTTCCGGAACAGCGCAATGGGCTCCCGAAGAACCACTCCACCATCTACTAGAACGTTAAAGGGAAGCCGC